CACCATTCAGTCTGATAAGATGTTATGGTGTCAAAAATATATTGTCTTCATATTTTCAACTTACTTTCCATAAGAACTTCCTCTCCTTCCCAAATTTAACACAATAAAGGCCGGAGCAAAAACGACATTAAAAAAAAATGTACATTTTCTCTCATCAAATGAGACAGACATGAACTCGTCAGGAATCCTGGGGAATTGATTACAAACGTGGCATTGTTTTAAAGAGTCCGTGCTGCTGGTGAATCAGCCCAAATAAAACCATCAATTAAGTGGAGACCATGTGCGGGAACACGTCATCTATTTCAAAGGTTTTTGTGAGTGAGTAAGTGCTCGCAGTTGTCTGAAAGTATTCTCGTAATTGGTTTTGGTAAGCTGCATTCATTATTTGCGAAGCAGACCAAACAGAGCGATCTCTCGAGTCACTGAACTGTGAGAACTGCGCATAACTGAACTTGCGTCGCACTCAGGTGTCTTTTCTTCCCACAAGCCGGGAACATCGAAGGAAATGCCACGCGCGTTCGTCAGTGAGTTACAATGCACAGTTGAAGCAAAAACATGGAGACTTGGGCTCCTGTAATGGGATCATTGGGCTGCAGTGCACAAATCTTCGCCTGCTGTCGTCACAAAGCACTGTAGTCCCCCCCCCCCCCACCACCACCGATCCCCCCCATCAGTGAGGCCATTTAGCCATCTGCAGCAGCGGGGTTACTGCCATTGCCACGGCTTAGCGTGATTAAAAACAGGACTTTTTGGCTATTTTTTTTTTTTTAACCGCAAGCTTTCCACTTGCTTATAGAATTCTCGGTGGCGGCGGATGTGCGACACCAAAGTTGCCTTTTGAGTGTAGTGACAATTAGCAGAAGGCAGCTTGTTGGCGTTTTGAACTCGGCAAACTGTCATCGCCCTTCAGCGATTCTTCTGATCCAACTGCATGGACATGAAACACCAAAGCCAACGCCTCGAACAACAGGACACGCTGTCCTAAATGAAGTCTCCCAAGAATTATTTCATGTCAATTCAAGACTAACTTCACACCTGGTACGCCACAAAATCTGCCAAGGACAAAAAAACAGACTGCAGCTGCCGTGTACCTTCACTGCATAGCTTATTATTGAACGCTACCGGGACACTGCTGTGAACAGACACACTCAATAAAAGAGCAGAACGTGCAGCTCATTCAGGACATGTGAGCTTTAACTTTTCTCGGTCCGAAGGCTCATTTGCTCTGATATATTGGACGCCTTCTGCAATCTCACAGGCGATATCACAGATCGCTCGGATGTAATTGTCAGGCTGCTCGGAGATGTTTGCAGCTGTTTTTTTTTTTTTTAAATATCTAAGGAATGGCATGATATACGTGATGAGTTTAATGCCATATTAGACACTGCTGAGAAGTTTGAAAATGCCCCGGTCAAAAATCAAAAAATAAAACGGGACAGACATGGTTATTTTTCATTATTTCTGAAAACATGACCTTCAATGAATGGCCTATTCTCAAATTGCTTTCAAATATACTGTGCACCGGATTATAAGGCGCATAGAATAGAAGCTACAATCATGGCTGGGTTTCATGATGCGTCCACTAGAGGCAGCTACGCTAAAGGGAACACAATACAATGCAGCTTTATTTGTATAGAGCTGTCACAACCGCTGCAGCTGCTTTACAGAACATTTAAAATACGACGTCCATGAAATCTGAATATTGATCCATATATAAAGTGCGTCGGATTATAAGGCGCGCTGTCGGCTTTTGAGAAAATGGAATGCTTTTAGGTGCGCCTTATAGTGTGGAAAATACGGTACTTTTAACCACCGGTTTCATGCAGCGATATAAACAAACATTTAGACACAAATTTCTAAGATAGTCAATACAGATAAATACATTTACTAATCACTGAATTATTCATTCATCAAACAGAAAAAAAAAAATCTGAGTAGTCTGAAACTTTCAGGGATAAGCAGAAATAAGTTACCAGCAGCCTCATAAGCACACGTTATATAATAAACAGTAAGGTAGCCCTTAGTCGAATGTTCTCTCTTCCTTCCAGTCAGCCGGGAAGGTCAGGAGACATGAGAGCATTTTGCGCAATATCAGCTAAAGAACTCGAACTAAAAGCTACCAAGGGAAAGGCGCATACTGTATGAGGTGCACTGGACCACCGCGAAAATCACATTTGCTCAGAGGTGGTGAGACACACGGCTGATCATGCTGTGAACAAATGAGCTCAGAGTCAGCATTTCTGCTACGCTCGAGTGTGCATTGCTCGTGACAAATCGGAGTTTGTGTTAATTGGGGGTGGGGGGGACAACAACAAACGAAGAAAGCCTCCAAGTGAATTTATCAGCAGCGTGCTATGTATCAAATAGGACGAAAGAAATCACTCCAAATGATGTTCACTGACATGGAGGCAGGGTGGAACGGTGGTCGACTGGTAAGCTCGTCGGCTTCACGGCGCAGAGGTGCGGCGGGGTTCGATTCCGGGCTGCGGCCTTTCTTGTGTGGAGTTTGCATGTTCTCCCCGTGCCCGCGTGGGTTTTCTCCGGGTACTCCGGTTTCATCCCACATTCCGAAAACATGCATGGCGGGTTGATTGGGCACTCCAAATTGTCCCTTGGTGTGATTGTGAGCGCAAATGGTTGCATGTCTATGTGTGCCCTACGATTACCAACACAATGCAGCTCTGCTTACTTTTGGTTGCAACCTCCACATTGCCTCTATTTTTCTGAACAGCGCACAATGTGATTAGAATTCGAGAAAGGGCGCAGTTCTCCGTTCCGCCAGAATGCAGTTGACCCGTTGCACCCTTGCGCCACACTCAAGCCGCACTGACAATGACGTGTTGGATTTATAAAATCAGAATACTTGATAGGACGCATGTGGGCGTGGGGCAAAGTTGTTTGCGAGTCACCGTTTTAAACTCAACATGCAACTTAAAGAACATCTAAAGTGATAGAGGGATTGAAAGTGCAAATGAAATATTGAACAGAAAAGGAGGTCTATTTTTAGATGGTGGTGGAGGTGGCTGGGGGCGTGATTCCGTTATATTATTGATGTTGCTCTGTGAGTGTGTGTGTGTGGGGTCTCTCTGGTTCCTCGCCTGAGAGAACAGCTGAGCGGAGCCGTGTGGTGGTCTGCGGGGAACTCTCATTGCATTAACGAGACAAGATTGGGCAAGAACGGTTCTTTGGCGCAAAATAGTTCAGTATCACTTTTTTTCCATGAAAGCTTGAGGTGACTCTCAGCTGTTGTTGTTTTGGCGCGGCCGTGTGTGCCACAGGTTTTTGTCTCCCCCGGGGACACAAATTGTAGAGCGCATATACCATTTAATTGGCGGTCTGGTGAGATGACTGACAAATATTTACTTTTCATCTTGGAAATAAATTGTTTGAGGTTTCCACGTGCTCCCCTTGCTATGTGCTGACATGCCCCTCAAAGTTTTCGCTTTTAAATTCCGTTTGAGGACATGCTTCCTTTCTCGTGAGTCACTCTCTTTGATCTCTTTTGACGACCACGCGTGAATGACGGACACACGGAAAGAGCTGGAAGGCATATCGACGCTTGCATAATACATCTTCATCATCACTGCGATGCCTTTCGACCCAAACACTGTACTTTAATTCACGGCTTGACGTGCTTACGCACACGTTAATGCCACCTCCTTCCAGAAGTTTTGTGGCGGTTGCATTAGCCATTAGTCTTGGTTCAATGTCATGTATTTGTCAAACGCGAGTGCATGAAATGCTCCTATGCAGTGTTCCCCTGAACCCGAACACAGAAAGACTTCTTTGAGTTTTAATTGAGAATCACGTGCTGGAATCTGTCATTTGCTCAGTGCGTGGGAGTGTTTGGAATTTTCATAAGTTTGGCAAGGGCAACTTTTTTCTTTTTTTCCCTGTCTACTTTTCTCTCGTGCCGGGCCCAAGTCGGCGTGATTGCCTCAACTCGGAGTCTCTCCTGCAGAGGTGTCAGACAGAGACCTTGAGCGAGTCACTCACTTTTCCTTTGTGTTGCTAAGCAAGAGCAGATCCCTTCATTAGACTGAAACTCTTGACAGCCGTTCATGCTTCCACAGCTTCTCTGACAGCACACCGCATGCTTCAACGGATTGGCGAGACAATGGAAACCATGGCGCAAACATGCAACACAAACGCTTCCTTGTTGCACAGTTGGATCATTTTCACACAGACAGTGGACTCGCCGTGGACAACGATACTTCCTTAAATCGCTCACCGTTTCCCGATAAGAAGACCAGGTTGAGCGTGGTTCCACAAGTTCGGGATCGTCGGTCGGCGTGCGAGTGTCAGCCAGTGGTCGTCATTTTTAAGCGATTATCCGGTTTCTTCTCGTCCAGTCATTTTACAAAAATGCGTTGGATTTGAGTGCGCACCTGTGGAGAAGAAGACGGCAATGTCCGTAAAGCCCCAAATATTAGCGCGATCGTTTTGATCATTTCAGACATCGATGTGGGCGTAGGTAGAGATGGCCACGTGAATTTTGGTGGCGAATGATCGTAGTTTTCTAACATTAAGCCACATGACAGGTTTTTTCCCCTCTATTGTGAATTTCCGGTGTAAAAAGCTTAGTGCACATAAAATCAAAATACTGTGACAGTTTGATATCTGATTTCATTTCCGTGCAACCATTGGATGAAATAAAATTGAGTAAATTCAACACACCATTTTTTTAAGAGTCTTATCTGTCGTTCGAGCTAGCTAGCTAGCTAGCTAAATTTCACTTCATGCAAACCCACTGGTTGTCATTGTTTAGTTTATTAATGTCACGAGTCATGATGGCGTTTGACTGATGCTTTAACAGCACGAATAGCAACTGACAGTCACGATGGCAAGCCGCACCTTGTCTCTTGGGTTATACCACTTTAACTAGACCGGGGGGGCTAGTCCCCAAACAGTCATTCAAACGAAAGTCGGACTTACCATTTATTTGCCAAGCAACATGGAAGTTTGGATAACAGCTGACGGATGACATGTGTCAGACGTGCTGGATAAATGTCTCGACTCTATTTCGGTATTTTGACGAGACGCCTGGGAACTGTTTTCAATTGATTTGCGTTCATTTAATAAAAAAGACGAGTCGAAATCAATGTGCCGCAGTCACGAGAGGCTCACTGCATAAACGTGCGACAGTAACTTGCTGAGTATATCACATCAGGAATGTGCACGTGTAAGCCTTCTTTTCATTGATGCATAAAACTGGGTGCTTGCGTGATTAAAATCTCACGCTCGTGCGTCGAGTCTTCAACATGCAGAGGTCTCTGCCTTGTACCAAGTTTCCAGCGTTTCCTCGAAAGGTTGAAAACTGCCAAAGGGGGAAAAAAGTCAACATAGACAGTGTAAACAGAGAGAAGCAGAAAGGGCAAGTGCATTCAACCAAACACGCGCCACAGAGGGCAAAGTACTGACAAATGAATCATATTGCATTGGCTTTCCATGACTGTTTTCCTTGCCCGACAGTTTGCATGCATTTGGCATCAGATTAAAAGTGAGCAATCCAATTAGGAATGAGCCAGGACTCAAAGATTCCAACTGGGATATATTTAGAATTCCTCACAGCCTTGGCCATGAGAACGGCTTTCCTCGCGCTTGTTGGTAAACAGTATTTGCTCTTCTTCTGGAACGAGAACACAGTCACCTAATGAGAGAGGTAGAAAGGGTTCTGAGAGAGGACAATCCCGACGTTAGATGATGCATTGCGTCAATTTCCGACGCTCGCGCAGAAGAACAAAAAAAAAAAAAAAAAAAAACCATAAAAATGGCAGTTTACGCCAGTGGGATTGTGAAAATGGCATCTTCTTCCAGATTCTCTTCAGATGAACCATTTGATCATGAATACCATGAATGGTTCCAATGGGGAAAAACATACACGCAGCAATTCAAGACCATTTTTTTCCTGAACAGTCTGTTCTCGCCCAAAAGACTGAAAAGGATTTTCATAATTGAAAAAAATTGGCTATGCAAATAACTATTTACAAGGAAAAAATTTTTGGTCTGTCCATTACCCCTTTGAAAGGACGACAAAATATCGTATTCTATCAGGCATCTCCCAACAAAATTGTTCACCAAACTGCACAATGAACATGTTCAGTGTTTTATTTATATCCTACTGCTTATTCTATCAAACCCCTTGGACACAAAATGAAGACACTCGCAAGGAGCATGGAGCAGATGCTAACACCAAAGTAACTCATTAGGCCGCACCCCCTTAGGAACACGTTACATGAACGACTCCAGTGTACTTAATCACGCCGAATAAAACCATGGCACTGTATAATCACGTTTTTTTTTTCTCACCAAAGGTAGAATACAGCTCGGTTTATGCATCTATTGGTGTTGTAAATAACAAATAATAAATCCACGCTGCCACAGACAAGCTGCATCCTTTAGCTAAGATTGCTAGCTAGCTAGGGAAACAGTTTCCCCTCGGCAGAAGTTGGCTCATGACAAATGACAATGCACAAAAAATAAAAATGATGAGATCAGTTCCGATCCGAGTCTGAAATATAATCATCAATGTTTGCTTTTCCACGCCCACTCGAGTCCCGGTTCGAATCGCCACTGATTCGCGCACAGCCTGAGACCGAGCCATTGATTTTTGCGATCGTGTAGCCCTCTAGCAGAACTTCATGATGTCTGGTTGACCGGCCCGCGCTCTACTCACCTGAAGTAATCGGGTTTATTTTTCACAATGAACATGATTTAATACCGCACCAGCTCAATGCGCGGCTCTGTCTCCTGTGATCATATTCCCACGTCAGGAGCAGAAGTCAGATCAATGAAAAAGAACGCGGGCAACATGGGAGATTACAACTATTGATTACCACTGTTGCCCGATACATGTTTGAATGCCTCCTTATGGAGACAACAGGTGGACGCTTGAACTGGCTGCAAAGCAATATTCCAGAACGAATCGGTGCGGCGCGTGCAGTGCAGTTGTGCTACGTGCGGTTGTTTGGAACAGATTAGCATCGCCTTCTGTGAAATATTGTTTTGCTGTCACCTGCGGTATAAAGTGAGAACTTGGAAAAATAACTTCTTCCAAACTCCATTATTAATTCATGCACATTGAGTCTAACAACATTATGTTGTGTATTCAGCAGCTGTTAATGGATTTGCTCATGGAAAAGATGTAAAAGAAAAAAGAAGAAAGAAAAAAACAAACACTGTACAAGCAAACGAAGTTCTGCCCACTTAAAGCATCTGGCTCAAACACTTGCGAGAGTGTGGGAGGTACGAAAAAATGACTTTACAATGAGGCATCTTTTGGACATGTCAGGGATTTGGCTTTATAAATTTAAAAAAATGTTGCCATCATTTATTTGGGTCATCTGCTCTCAGACAAATGGAAGTTTTAAACAAATAATTGACTTTTCTTTTACGGGACCATGCATACACCTTATGCTCCAGAGCTTGTGTTGAAAGACACAAAATATACCAGATGGCTTGTTTGAAAAAAACTTGTTGTTTCTAGCTTGAATACAGATGGCTCTGTGCTGCAAAAGTCATTGTAACCGTTTCGTTTGAGTCTCTTTTCTCGATAGTCAATTCAGACAAGACAAAATATTTTGTGGGGCTGGTTTATCAGCATGCTTCTCCAGATACAGTTTTAACCCATAAGAGCCCAGACCCATTTTTCCAAAAGGTTTTGATGGGTTAAAATCAGACAAAAAGTTTTGAAAAAAGATACTGGGGAGTTCAAACTGTTTGTTACACTGGTGTCACCGTGGGCTCTTATGGGTTAAGTAGACTATACATCGACTTAAAAAAAAAAAAAGTATCTGCATCCAAACGATTTTATTTTTTGTGCAACCACTTGACAAAACAAAATGGAGTAAATTCAACCCCAAAACTTTTTTTTTGCAGCGCCGGCTATTGCGAAGTGTTGTCGAATAAATTGGTTACTAGCGTCCCTAATGAGGACATCGGAAAATGGATGGCTGTTATGTGCCCTATAAAGGGCTGTGCCTTTGAGCTTTCAACTGCCATCTTAATTGATGCTCCCATTAGGTTTTGCTGCATTGAAATGAAGTCATTATGTACATCCACAGCGACAGTGTATGACCCATTTAGGTGCGGATGATGGAAGCCATCCATGACACATTCCACTCCATCCAAGCTCCTCCCTCAAAGGCATTCAAAACCATTTGTTAATCGTCCTTTTTTTATGCCTCCCTATTTCTCTTCACTAATGTGTCCATTCTAATCTGAGGGACCCAATAGATTTTCATTGCTAATTGAATGTTCTGATTTTATGATTCGCCGCGAACTGAATGATGTGTGCCGAATGGACAAAGGGGAGTCATCCACGTGTCGTTCCTGGATAATGAATGCCACCATCATTTATTCGTTAATTCCTGAACCGCTTCTCCTCGCTCGGGGTCACGGGCGTGCCGGAGCCTGTCCCAGATGTTGCTGGGCGAGAGGCGGGGTACACCCTGAACTGGTCGTCAGCCAACAGCAAGCCTAAAAATGACAGCGTTCCCCTGCTACTTTCGGTTATTGCTTCACTCCATTGCAGGTTTGCACTTGTGACCGGAATGCCATCGACTGCAGTCTTATTTTGCTCTGATGGAGGTTTTCTTAGTATTTTGGAGGGAAAATTCGTTTTATAAAAAATAGGACCATGAACGGGAGAGCCCGCCCGCCCCAAAATTCCCGTTCCCTCATTTTAGGTGCATTCAGAAATACAATTTCAGCGCCCTGCTTCACTTAGACTGTTTGGAAATTCAGAACGTTGTTCAAAAATGAAGTTCAGTTACTGGTAGTGTCACAAAATCAGAGCTCAGTGAAGGCAGTACAAGGAAAGTAAACAGCAAGGTTCCGAAATGAATGTGAGCGGAGCACGTTTCCCACAATGGCAGCAAACAAGAATGAAGACCGCGAAACGTCAGCTTAATTACGATGTTCAAGTTTTTCGACAAGGGGCTTACCTTCAACAGAAGCCCACGTCACATTGTAGCCAAAAGGTACAATCCTGGTGGTTTAATGTGCCTTGTAAATTGTTATTATGAAAACCGAAAGTTAGATTCCATGACTTCTTTACTTCCCAGAAGTTGCCTCTTCTTTGTCTTCCTAAGAAAGAAAAAAAAAAAGCCAATGTAGTCATGGCAACTAACTTCAGTTTGCACAACATTCATTCAACCCACCAGGATTGTACCTTTGGCTAAAATGCAATGTGTGATTCTGGTTAAGGTAAGACATTTTAAGTTAAAAATGTTTAAAAAAAGCTGACGTATTGTCATCCCACTGTACTCCCAGAGCACTCGCCGCTCGCATGAATTTATGAATGCAGCTGACAATCAGGGGCTTGGAATGTACTGTATCACCGATGAGAAAGGGAGAGAACACTATATTCTTCTTTTGGGGTGGCGGGCGTGCTTGTGGGTTACTTAACTGGAAGGCTACAGATTGAGATGCATTGAGGATGCTACTGTAAGCGTGTGCGTGTGTGAGTGCAGGCGTGTATGTGTGTGTGTGTGTGTGTGTGAGTGTGAGAAGCAATAAGTCGAGGGCTGAGCGAAAACGCTGCTCTGCGGATGCTGCTGTCCTTGGTGCTGAAACTCAACTTGGGTTCTGCATGTGTGCCTTTGTGTGGCATGTGTGCGAGAGAGAGAGAGAGAGAGAGAGAGAGAGAGAGACAGAGATAGAGAGAGAGAGAGATAGAGAGAGAGAGAGGTTTCACTGTGCGCAAGCAAAATAAATAAAATAATAAATAAATACATAAAGCATTTGGATGTGTTGGCTTCCAGCCATGCGCAAACAATAACAAGGAGCGTTGAAGTGATAAAGGACAATAACAAGCAACGGTAAAGGGCAAGTAGTGGAAAGACAGAAACGTGCAAGCCCGGGAGCAAAATGGAGGGGTTTTTCTTTGGGAAGTGACGCTGCCTCTGGTGCCTATTAATGAGGGACTCAGATTCCCTCCCCTCCGGTGGTGATGCAGTGAAGCTGCTCTGCGCACAAGCATGCGCTCTGTATAAAACGGGTCCTCCTCCACACACGGATTACACTACACACGCGCGAAGTCACTGCAGCTTCTTCTTCTTTTTTTTTTTTTTTTTTTCTTCTTCTTTCCCCAAACTAAAACAAATCACAAACCTCACAAGCCAACATGCACGCGGCGGAGGACGTAAGCTTTTGGAGATTTTGTCTATTTTCATGCCTCTTTTTGCAGAGTTCGTGTCAAGACTTTGGAGGACAGACGCAATTTATTTGCACCTCGGTCCCAAAGGATATGGACATATGCGCGGCCACTTTGCAGAACAGCGTCCCCGGCGACGACTTGAAGAGCACCGTGGTGCAGCTGAGGGAGACGGTCCTACAGCAGAAGGAGACCATCATGAACCAGAAAGAGACCATACGAGAACTGACCTCAAAGTTGGCGCGCTGCGAGAGTCAGAGCGGCGCCGAGGCGGTGGAAGGGAGGCCCGGGGGCAGGAGGAAAGAGGCCGGCACCAAAAACACCATGGGGGATGTATCCAGGGGGCCCGCCGACACTCTGGCGCAACTCTCGCAGACTTTACAGTCGCTCAAGCAGAGATTGGAGAACCTTGAGGTAAGCCGGTGCTCCTGAAAATGCATTTTGAACACGATATTGAAGAACATATTTGGCGTCGAGACGCAAGATATTAACCCTTTCGGGGACGGCAATTACCACAGTGGACATTTTAAATGTTATCAGGTTACAGATGATCATGATTGGTGCCTGAAAGGGTTAAAGCTGTGATTCAATATGACGATTTAGATCTGCCTTGACAAATAAAATAATTCTGGCTCTAAGTGCTATCTGGACACGAAGTTCATACAATGGAGGGATGGATGGATTGAAGATGTGTCAAATATTTTTCCTCGCAGGACATTTGAGAGCTCATAAATTGACACATACCTGACCGAATTTGTCAAAAAAATGTTTTCTTCTTTCAGGACAACACAATCATTTGAAGAAAAAAAAAAAGAATTCTCATTGCTCTACTGTGCAAGCCTTCCTAATGCTGCAGCTCGTGAGCGGATTCCTGACAGAAAACTTCAAAGTGTTTCCCATCGCCTTCTTTTCTCGCAGCAATTCAGTCGCAGTAACAACTCCGTGCAGGCCAACGGCCTCAAAGACCTGCTCCAAAGTAAAATCGATGACTTGGAGAAGCAGGTGTTGTCCCGAGTGAATAGCATCGAGGAAGGGAAGCCCGGATTGCGCAATGAGACGGAGCAGCGTGGGAGAGTCGAGTCCACCCTCACATCTCTGCACCAGAGGATCACCGACCTGGAGAAAGGCAAGTGTCGCAAAAATTACATACGATAAGTTGCTTGCTGGACATCTGGTAGATTACCGAGGAGTCCTTCATGTACAAAACAAGCGCCGTGGTAAAATCAGATCATTCCCGATTTGGGCACGTTTGCGGGAGCAAATATTTTCGGAGGCTTTACTGCTCTTGCAGCAGATTAAAGCATTTCATCCCTCCATTTGAAACCTAAAACCGAAAAACGCGTGCATGGGTTTGGGACAGCTCTGATCTCCTGGCAAGAGTTCGTGCGGCGGTGAGAGGCGAGGCACGAGAGGGGAGGTTGCAAAAAAAAAACGTCGCCGCCGCTCGGATGTGACTATCGAATTGAGATTAAAGCAAATCTGGAGCATCACGATCGTGGATTTGTTGTGTAATGTATAATTCCAATGTAAATCCCCGGCGTGTGTGTACGAAGAGTGTTTGGAGTGATCCGTTCCGTAGACACTTGATTATGTCGAAAACCACAATCTGATCACAGATGAGCAGGCAATGAGGCATCTGCTTGTTAATTTCTTCCTAATATGGTGAAATACACATCGCTGGAACGACAATTAGACCCCCCCCCCCCACACACACACACACACACACACATACATATTCCAACCTCAGTACAGTCAAACACAAATCGAAACCAACTTGTGTTCATATCCAAATGCATTTTGTTGGCTGCAACGATATGCAATCGAGCTCAAGACTGATCCATCTTTCGATCCGTTTTCGACATCCCGTCGGTGCCGATCACGTTTGCCGATCCCAAGTGACTGCGGACGGGAGGCGGGGCGCGCCGCGGGCCCGTCATCGATCAAACGCGGGACACGTTTGGAGAATCATCCATCACACTCAGGTTCACGCAAACAATTGGAACCTGCAGTTAATCTAAGAAGCATGATTTGGGGAATATGGAAGGAAGCACACCGGACGGGCCGGGTCGTGCTTACCACGACGCCAATGGATGGCCTGGTCCATCATCGTGTTACAGTATAACGGCAACTTTTCATCGACCGTCGTACACATTTCAATCTACTGTACCTACACTTTAACTCATTCACTCCCAAAGACGTTTTTTAACGTCTTTTCAGACTTCGTCCAGAAGTGGCTGGTATTGAATGAATCACTATTCAGTGCCATTAAAAGTATTTGCTCCCTTACTTCAGGGTTGAGTGAACGCTGGCGCGTCTGGCTGCCGCTGCTCACCCGCAATTCTTTGGTTTTATTATTCTTGTTTTGATTGTAAAGTGTCCTTGAGTGTTTTGAGAGGCGCTTATAAGTGAAGTGTATTATTATTATTATTATTATATTTCAGATAAAATAACATGAATTGATTTGTTCTGTTTCCAAACAGGCCCATCTTCACACTTGAGAATTAAGTTCGTGTCGGACATTTTTGACGTGGTTTAATTTCGTACTTTTGCCACGAAATAGAAGAATATTGAATTGTTCTGCCAGTCGCCATATGTTGCCGGCATCGGTAATGGAACAAAGAACCATTGGATTTTCTTCAATTAACTGAAAATGGATAAGCGGTTCGGATGATGGATGGATAATTTCCTGATGGTCTATGACAGCGCATTCATGTCCCGTCCCCAGACTTGAGAATTAAGTTCGTGTCGGACATTTTTGACGCGGTTTAATTTCGTACTTCTGCCACGAAATGGAAGAATATTGAATTGTTCCGCCAGTCGCCATATGTTGCCGGTAATGGAACAAAGAACCATTGGATTTTCTTCAATGAAGTGAAAATTGATAAGCGGTTCGGATGATGGATGAATAATATCCTGATGATCTCTGACAGCGCATTCATGTCCCCAATTATTATTATTATTATTATTATATTTCAGATAAAATAACATGAATTGATTTGTTCTGTTTCCAAACAGGCCCATCTTCACACTTGAGAATTAAGTTCGTGTCGGACATTTTTGACGTGGTTTAATTTCGTACTTCTGCCACGAAATGGAAGAATATTGAATTGTTCCGCCAGTCGCCATATGTTGCCGGTAATGGAACAAAGAACCATTGGATTTTCTTCAATGAAGTGAAAATTGATAAGCGGTTCGGATGATGGATGAATAATATCCTGATGATCTCTGACAGCGCATTCATGTCCCCAATGCGAATCACCGGTGAACTGCAGAGCTGTTTCGAATATTTTGGCTGCCTCACGTAGACCGGGTCGACAAGAGGGGCAGATATCACGACATTGTGCATCTGTCCCTCATAAACTGGCTGTAAATGTCAGTGGCTCGGCTAACGAAATGGAAATACGGTTGGGGGAGCGCCCGTGGCAGCATCCTGCGAGATGACTGCGTCATCCGAAATAGATGCCGTGCAAACACATTTCTGTTTTCCTCAAAACAGGTCAGCGGGAAAACAGGCCGCTGGATAAATTCCAGCTCACGTTTCCGCTGAGAACCAACTACATGTACGCCAAGGTGAAGAAGAGTTTGCCCGAGATGTACGCCCTCACCGTTTGCATGTGGCTCAAGTCCAACGCGTCCCCAGGAGTGGGCACACCTTTTTCCTATGCGGTGCCTGGTCAGGCGAACGAGCTGGTGCTCATCGAATGGGGAAACAACCCAATGGAGATCCTGATTAATGATAAGGTAATTCCGTTTGCATCCTGCTTGAGACCAACATGGTTTAATTTGTCTTGGGTCGGACTTGACATGACGTCTGCGCCGCCGTCAAGGTTGCAAAACTGCCTTTCCTGATCAACGATGGCAAATGGCATCATATCTGCGTGACGTGGACCACTCGCGATGGCGTCTGGGAAGCTTTCCAAGATGGCGTCAAGAGGGGGAGTGGCGAGAACCTGGCGCCATACCACCCGATAAAACCTCAAGGCTTGCTAATCCTCGGTCAGGAGCAGGTAAGGTCAGCAAATTGTCACATGTACAAGCAAGATTGTTGGGTTTTTTTTTCCAACAGCAGTGGACAGCGCAGAAAATGGACACGAATCAGTGTCGGAATGTTGGTCCAGGAAATCCTTCCGTTCATATTCTGCAGTTATCATTCTGTTCGGGGGCTCATCCGGGACTGGGGCCGATCTCTGCTGACTCATAATGATGTCGGACGACACAAATACGGCCCGATTTTGAGCCAACGGATGTGTCGCAGACAAATCTGGTGTCTCGTAGTTGATTTTGAGTTGTTTTGACGCATCGTGGCCAATGCGGTGTGACATATGCGGCGATGGTTCATCCAGCATCTGGGACGCTTCACGACCACAATGAAGTCTGGCATGTTAGGGGTCGTCTTGCCGCGCAGTGTGGCATGGCCCACGGTTCTTCGGCATTAACCAAGACCGCGCCGGACGCTAATTCAATCTGTGTTTTGTGCAGGACACATACGGAGGCGGGTTCGACGCCACCCAAGCGTTCGTTGGAGATCTGGCCAACTTTCACATCTGGGATCGGAAACTCTCCGTGGGAGAAATTTATAATTTGGCGACCTGCAGCAGCAAAGCACAAGTGGGCAATGTTTTCGCATGGCTGGAAACGAGCCTCGAAATTTACGGAGGCGCCTCCAAGTGGACATTTGAAGCTTGCCGCCACCTCAATTAAAAGCGCGAACGAGGGAAGAGCGACGCTTTGGCCGAGGCCGCTGGGGTCACCGTGTCACGAAAGGAATTTCAAGGCTCCTGAGGCAAACATTTCAGTCACTTAAGATGCTGAAATTAAAAGAAAAAAAATGATGGCAGGCCTTTTTTTTTTTAAACTAGATATTCTCTTTGGGAGAATTCTTGGATGACGCGCACTTCCAGCATGATGCGGTACCGAAAAAGCACGTCAGGTTTCTCTGTGGCTCCGTTTTGATTGTTTTCACTTCAGAGACCTGTGGATGCTCAACACAAATGAAAGATTGAAGGCGGTCCAAGGTCATGTCGTCTTTCAAAGCAAGATGTCCTGCAATTCAACGAAAACAACTTCCTCGAGGGAGATTCCTTTTTGTTTTGACTGGAAGGGATTTTCACTGTGAAAATGGACAAGGCGGGCAATGCGTTTTTCAACAGACCACTGGGTTTCCTTCTTGCTTTACGCCGCCCCCCCCCCCACACTCTCCGCCAACTGCTTGATGTGATTTTGTGTGAAGGGTGCCC